TCTTGACAAAATATCTTTTCATATTATGTATTTCCCATGTTTAAGTAACCTAAACAAGTCTGTGAACTACTAAAGCAGTGTTTCTCAACCTTGGCAACTTGAAGACGTGTGGAGCTCAACTTCTAGAATTCCCCAGCTGGCTGGGGAATTCTGGAAGCTGAACTCCACACATGTTCAAGTTGCCAAGATTGAGAAACACTGCACTAAAGTTTACAGATGCTTCTAGGAAAATTTAGCCTATCTATTACAGGAGTCCTCGCTTAGTGACCATAATTGGGACCAAGAACTCCATCACTAAGCGCTGTGGTCGCTCAGTGGAAAATCACATGACCACGATGGACTTATGACGTCACTTCCCATCTGACTGTAAAGCAAGTCACCACGGTCATTAAGCGAAACATCACATGAGTACAACTTACAATTTTACTTCCACTTTCTCCATTAACTCTGCTTGCTGCAAACTGGTTGGGAAGCACAAAATGGCAATCATGTGACCGAGGGACGTTGCAACAGTCATAAATGCAAGGACTGGTCACAAAGTTGTAAATTCGAACAGTTGCTAAACAAGGCAGTCAGTAAGCGAGGACTACCTGTAAAAGGATAAGCTAACACCTTTCCACCATTATGATGTATCTCCTGCTATAGCTGTAATTTGACAGGGAGACTGTGCTAGAATACAATCTGTTTTCAAGGCTTTTAAATAAGGGCTGCAGAGTCCTTTGCATTTGATTCCAAAAAGGTGTTCCAAAGCATGAAAGTAGCATCTTCCTGCAACTCTTTAAAGCAGCTGTATTGTTTCCCAGGATCATGTGAGAAAACGATACAGCTGCTTGAAAGAGCTACCAACAGTGCTACTTCCAATATTGCCTTTGGAGATAAAATCCAAAGTGCTCTACAGCCATACTAAGGAATACTTTGCTCATATCTACAGTGTTTTTCTTCTTCACTGCTAAATCATTGTACCCAATCTCCATATATCTAAAATTAGGGGTCCTGGAGAACATGGATTCTGTGAATAAGGCCTAGTGTATCTTTTAGTTTATTGGATGCACAGTGATTTCATAATCTTTTGAAAGAACTGTAATCTCAATCAGAATGATTGCACTGGTCCTTTTTCACTTGAGGAGGAAAGAAAATTGGAAGCATTCTTAGTATCTTCGGAAGCACAACTTGCTTTGCATTTCTGTTTCCCAGAGTTGAGCAGCAAGTATTTGTGGGTAGGCCAAAAAACTGCAGGCTCAGACTCCACCACCGCAATTCCTTCTAGCCAAGAGAGTCAACCTTTAACTGTGTTCTGATGCTTGCGCCAACAGAAGGGCCGAAAGCTTAAATCGGCATACCCACAGGCTTTGCAAGAGAGGTAAGGAAGGAGAGAAATGGGAGAGTCAACCAAGTAAAGTTGAGCCCTTCTTCACTTGCATATGACTGTGGCCCAAACATGCCCTGCTAACCTCTTTCATCTGCCATGTCCTCACAGCCTTTGCCAGATCCTTAGCCCAGACTTGAAGCAGTCCCAAGTCATCCTGAACTGTAACAGTGTTAAAATAAGTCTTTTCTCCCTTAACCCCACACAGGGATTCCCTCTTATGCACTTCACTGACCATTCTGTTGTGACCGAATCAGGTGACCCCTATGCGTGGGATAACATGGCACCCATTGGCCCCTAGGCAGGGGTGGGGATGTTCTCTTCCCTCCCATTCCTGAATGTTGGCTCAAAAATCTGAACGCACTTGGACAAAACCAGAGCAAGTCTTGGCAGATTGCTAAACAAAGACTTCTCTCAAAACTCAGCTCCTCCCCAGTGTCATCTCCGTGCAACGTTACACAGTGACGGATGAATACTATTCTGCTAGATGTGATGTTTGGTGGGGAAAGAAGGAAACAAAGCTGGAACCATCTACTAACTCCTCTCCTGAACATGTACTGTATGGGTAAATGTGAACAGCACCATGGGACCAGATAGAGTGGCCAGGGGGACAACTAATTTTATGTCAGTATAGTTTTCCTATCAAGGACTGGTGGAGACCACTTTTAGTTGACCCTTTGGCCATTTCTCCACGAGCGACCCAGGCATCAACCAGCGATTGCTGTCTTCATTACTATTATTTTGGCACAAGTGGGGAATGACTTCTTGTCTTTTTGCAAAGCGTTAATTATTCTTTCAGTATAAAAGAACCATAAGAGACTCCGTGAGAAGAATTTCAGTGCAATTACTGTTTTAGGCTGGGCTTAATGGCCTTGCTGGAAAGGCAGTCCAATTTTTAGATGGCAATGGGTCATGGGTTCACTTACTTCCAAATACAGTAAGCCAGACCTGTTGCAAGTGCTTTTCAAACATGGCAACTTTAAGATGGGTGGACTTCAACTCCCAGAATTCCCCAGCCAGCATTCCTTGCTACCTCCAAATACAATATGACTGGTTGAGATAATATGCTAATGTTTTTAGAGGCCAGGCTCTAAATTCTAGTGTATTAATAGAAGAGAATATCTGTAACTCAGGGTTGAAATGTGGAGTCCTTGGGGTTCTCTGAGCTTGGTTGTTTTCTTGCAGACGTTTCATTACCTGACTAGGTAACATCGGTTGAAATGTGGAGTCCTTGGGGTTCTCTGAGCTTGGTTGTTTTCTTGCAGACGTTTCATTACCTGACTAGGTAACATCGGTTGAAATGTGGAGTCCTTGGGGTTCTCTGAGCTTGGTTGTTTTCTTGCAGACGTTTCATTACCTGACTAGGTAACATCTTCAGTGCTCGAAGAGTGTGGGGTTTGCTCTCTGTTTATATGCAGTAGCTTGCCCTGGCAGTGTTGATGGGGGTGTTGTTTTCTCCTTGATTAGGCTGTTGTTTATTGGTTGACTGTTTGCTGAATTGGTAGAGTATTGTTTACTGCTTGATTAGGGTATTGTTTTCTGATTTATTGTTGTATGAGCATGTTGGCTGGGGAATTCTGGAAGTTGAAGTCCACCCATCTTAAAGCTGCTGAAGTTGAGAAACGCTGCTCTAGATTGCTGGATTTAGCTGTCAAAACTTGGCTCCAGCCCAGCTTAGCATTGATACAAATCCAATGTATAAGAAAGTATAGTTTGATGAGTTTTTTATTTAAAAAATGTAGAGTGTGGTGGGGCAGGGAGAATGTTCAAAAGCTATTCAGCTCCATTTGGTTTAGAGTAGCAATACCACATCATTTGCAGGGCTATTTTTATATGGGATATCAGAGGAAGTCTACATCAATTTCTACCCTATATATGTAATGGAAGGCATGTGCAAGGCAGATATGGGAATGGAAGATCAAGGTTATCAGGAGGGAGGGAGAGCATTCCTGAGGAAGCGCTTCCTCAGCCTGCAGCAGGACCATGAGAAGGTGAAGAAGCTGAGACTGGCCCCTCCCTGGAGTCTCACGGGGTATATCCACTAGTTGCTTTAGCATAGCTTTAGTCTGGCGAGATTCTGTCTTTAGGGCGTAAGCTAACAAAGGAACTATACAGGACTGCCTTGTCATCGTTCTTGGGGTGGCCCTGACAATATACAATGAAAAGGTCTCCAGTTTCCACTCACAAATACTGCACTCTCTGAGCCCTTACAATAATTGCAAGGGGATCATTACAATCTTCGTGTGCTGAAGATCCCAGTTTCATTCTCCAGTATCCCATCCCCCAGGTGGGATGGGAAAATATTCCTTTCCTCTCAATTAAAAAAAATAAGCAGGAAAGATGCATAGCACAGAGTAGGCATAACTGGGCTGGATGGAGCAACAGTCCAGCTGTAATGGTATGTGGGAATGACCTTGGGAGACAGGAGGAAGAGCTGTAGACTAGGCAACAGTTGGATAAGAGGCAGCTGAGCCTACAGAAGGAATGGGGAATGGTAAACGTCTCAGAAGGGACCCTCCCTAGTTTCTTGGGCTGAAAAGGCAAGGGGGGAGAGATGTACTTTCAGACTTGCAACGTTCTGTTAACATAACCTTACAATAAAGTAGAGCTAGTACTTCTGGATGTGCTTCTTCTCTGGACTACCTCACAAGGCTGACCAATTCAGTACAATGTAGTTTAATATGCTAAGACTGCTAAGACTGCATTCCCACACACATTTAACCTGGTTACTGAATTAACTGATTTTCTAAGTGTTCTAAATACATTTAAACTGTTCATTCAGCCAAACCCCTTGGTTCACATATCAGGCTATGCCACAAAAAAATTAACAGAGGTTAAAAATAACTAAACTTAGGACTGTAGCCACTTAACATCTAGTTAAGCATGTTAATATAGCCATAGTGAATACACAGGGGAAGGAAACAAGACGTCAAGGTTACGGATGGTACTGGGGAGAAAAAGGAAATGCACGGGGGGGGGTAGAGGAATCAGCAGACAAAGCCATCAGCTGAGAAAAGATGAAACACAATGAGGAGGACTGTAGGAAGCACAGTTGTCCAGAGTGAAAGTAATTTGGTTGCTGATGGAGCAATAACTGTATTGATGTAGTCCCAAGCCAGGCTAATGGTTGAGCCCAAGCATTCTTCTAATTTAGGAAAAGCCAGTGGCCACGAATAGCTCTATGAATTCAAGATGATTAAAATATTTGCCGGGGAAAGCCAAGTGAATTCCACCACTGTACTCACCTGCTTTCTTCTAACTTGGAAGGATCTTCTCTTAATCTGTTTGTCACCAGGAATGTCAACAGGGTAAGGTCAAAAAAAGTCAAGATGACATCCACAGTGGTGTGATTGAAGCCTCCATCTTGGTTTGGTGTTTTTTTTACCATACCCTACAGACACCTTTGTCACTCTTCAATGCCCAGCACAATTTGATATGCTTGTAAAGGGCACCTCATCCTTGGTTTGATGGTCTACGCTAGGTGATTTTTGCCTTATTTTGTAGAGAGGGTCTTTCATTTGGGGGCTTTGTTTTACACAACATACAGTAAAGTCGAGTGAGTTTCATTCCAAAACAAACTAACAAAAATGAGGTGCAACACAACACACAAACATCTGTTACATGCGCTGCATACCTGGAGGCACCATAGGTTTGCGTTTGTGAGCTTTGGAGTATTTTCAAAAAGGAGAGGGAAAGATGGGAGAAGGAAAAGGGGTAAACAGTGTTTTGAAAGGGAAGTAGGAGAAAAGAAACAGAACAAAGAAATTAGCATATAGGCCAAGTAGATCCCATTGAATGGGCAAACTCTGAACAAGAACCAGGTGCTACCATCAAATATCCCTTAGAGCAGTGTTGTCCAAACTTGGCCACTTTAAGATGAGTGGACTTCAACTCCC